GAAGTTTCAGCTGAGGTGACCTCAGATGTATGGAAGTTTTGTCCGTGGTGTTCGATTTGTCGCGACTAGTACTGAGACCACCACCTGGTGTTAAAAACATCAAGAGACGAATGTGTATGTAGGAACCAGCGTGAAGAGATCAAATCAGTGTGTCCTTCTTAGAGATAGATACCCATCAGAATTCACATCTCTATCCATGCAAATACTTCATCAACACAGCAACCTGTGAGTGAAGTCTTGAACTAATCCGGAAATACACTGCACTGAATAGCGGAGCTATGAATAAACAAGAATAAGACCAAATTGTGTATCTGACAGCAGCTTTTTCCTAGGTGGTGCCCTCCATGGTTGTTAGACTACAACTCTCATCATTCCCTGCCAGTCAGCCTCAATTCAAACATGTCAAAACATACACATCCTAACACACTGAATTCTACACAGCACTTCGTCTCGGTACGCACAGAGAGTGAGATTTTTGCATACAAAATACACTTAGATTCATTTTCATGCACAGACTTCTGCATATGCAATTTGTGCCTATTTTTTCTTAATTAGTATGTCCTTCAAGAAAATATCAGTGGGAGGTTTGTGGTCTTGGTGCTCATAATGACAGTCCCAATAGTTATATTCCAAGGGATGGTCCAAAAACACATACAGCTTGGTTGGTTCCTACCAACAAGCCAGGTCCCCCAGTTTTCTACTCCAGTAGGAGCAGGTTTTGGGTAAAGCTAATGGGTCTTAATTGCTTGATCAAGATTAAACCATTAGAAAACACTGGCATTAAAAACAAACTAGTGCATAACAATATATTGATATTGCTACACTAATGTAAAATACACACATCCCAGCCCACAAAAAAACTCATATTTGCTTGCATTCTTGAACATATGTCTGTACTATATAGAACTATTTTAAGATACACAGAAAAACATTGGCTGAAATCCAGTAGCAAGCTGCAACTAGAATAGGTTCACTGAATTTATGAAGTTGACTTACCCATTCACCACTAATTCAATGGGCCTACTCTAATTGTAGCTAGTTGCCGTCATGCAGTTGACTCTCCATCACTAGAATCCTAGCCTTCCATATAGACCCTGTCATTCAAAGTGAGCAAGACAATAGGCAGCAGACTAACTGAAAATTCTGATTTAAAAAAACTGAAGGCAACATTTCAGAATTTCTCTTTCAACATTCATTAATTATTTGAAGGAAACAGTTAAGAGGTTCTGTAGATGCATGCTAATGCTTGTTTAGTGCTTCTTACAGCTTAGTCTCCAAAATACTATGAAGCCAAAGCATCCATAATGAAATGTATTTCTTAAACTTGTTTCCCGCCTTTATTTTGTGCTCAGATTCATAGTTCTGAATGTGGAGCTTCCCAGATGGTCTCCCACCCATGCATACATACACCGTATCCCAACCTGCTTGTACTCAAGTTCCTTTTAGACCTTACCCCAGGATCAGCTGCAATATAACAGAGAAGATTTAAAGCACATGCAATTCAGACGGGGGGGGGGAATGAAGGCAAATTCAGGTTAAGAGAAATTATTTGAGAATCTATTTTTTCTCCAAATGTATTTTAAGCCTCCATTATGCATCCATACTCATCCTCCTACACTGTCTTTTACACACAAAATCAGCCTCCTCCAACTTGGTCCTTCCAGATGTGATAGACTCTTAACTCCCAAGCTTCCACAGCCTGGTATGGAGCTGTAGCCCAATACACGAGGGGGGCACCAGGCTTGGAAAGATGGCACAAGGTTCTTTTTTTCCTCTCTTTCCTGTCTCCCTGCTTCTTTTTTTCACAGTGCAGGAGTCTCCTTGCCTGCTTTCTTCCCAACCATGCAAATTTGCTCTGGTCACTGAGGCACACTGCAGTCAGGCACACAAACCCACATCGACAGACACAGAGATAGACAGATACACACAGGCAAAGACACATAGACACACAGACACACAGACACACACACAGAGAGAGAGAGAGAGAGAGAGAGAGAGAGAGAGAGGTGTAAACCAGACAAGAAAAGAGAATGGTGGGGATTGACAGTGCCATCTCACCCAACCTTGATGCCCTCCAGCCAAGTTTGGAATGTTTATTTTACTGGACTACAACTCCCAGAATCCCCCAACCAACATGACCATCACCATGGTGGCTGGGAAGCCTCTGGGAGATAAACTATCCAAACTGTTTCCTCCATGTACTGTATATGTGTTGAGCAATTCCTGTCATGCCAGCTAGTCTCGTTGAGTGTGGCAACTGGGGATGATAGGAGTTGTGGTCCTAGGCACCTGGAGGTGGCTGGTTTGGGGCCGGCTTGGGAAGACAGGCAGAAGAGGTGCCTCCAAAGAAGATCCATTAAGAGCCATAAGTATAGGAAGGGAGAGAATGAAGAACTAGCATATGGGAGCTAAAATGTATGGCACAGATACTGAGGGAGAAGCAGTGGATGAGAAGTAGACATGGAGGAGGGGGGGGCAAAGGCAGCTTAAGAGGACAGCCTGGGTTGTGGGTGAAACTGGGATGGTGGCTGTAACCAAAACAGGGCGCGCCACCGCTGGGAGAAAGGGGGGGGGGTCTGTTGAGAGTCATCAAGGAGAAGCCGAGAACGGAGGCTTCTGTGGATTC